GAAAAATTTGTTGAAAAAAAAAACAGAACTACTTGAAATGAATGAAAAAAATGTCTTCTCGTTTGAAGTCTCCTTTTTCATTATTTTATATTGACAAAATTGTTTTTCTGTTTTAGGCGACTCCTGAAGAATTAAATTTCAGTGAAATGGAATACGGTTCCACTAAAACATTGACTTTTACTCTTTTTAACTATAGTCTAGTAAACATTTATTTTAAACTGATTTGCACTCATCGAAACTGGCCAGTGGGCGATATAGAAAGAGATGTTCAAATGCGTCCATCAGTAGGGACAATTTTTCCTGGATTTCATAAGGAAATCATGATTTCTATTACACCCCATACGCCCGGTTATTACGAATTTGATGTTCAATATCTGATAAGAGTGAATTCCAGATTAAACACTCTTTTGTTTGACCAAAGTCCTACCAAAGTTTGTACTGCGTGTTGTATGTGCATATTGCCTACTTTGAAGGTAGGTAATATTATAAGATTTATATATGTTGAGCATTATTATAATTTATACATTTAGAGTAGATTTTGTTGCATGTGACAGATTTACAATATTTGTGCTTATGGATATGTACAAAAAATTCCATTAAATATAAGCAAACCATATCTGTGGGAAGCACTGGAAATAGATAAGTATGATCATAGAAAATATAAAACGTACTATAAAATAATTAATTTTACTGAATGATTATTTGATTTTCTTTTTTTAGATTAAATAGAATTCTTGAAACGATATTGCCAGGAGAAAGAAAGAAATTGAATGTAACATTCTTTCCAACAATTATAAATAATGAAACTGTTTTTATAAAACTATCTGTTAAGAATCATTCAAGATTTTCTGTTTCTTGGAGCATTAAGTGGATCCACCAATGTAACTGCAAACCAGTCATGCAAAAGATTGGTCTTTCATTTCAGAAAAAAGAACTTGATTGTTTTCATCAGAAACTTTGTATTCTGTATCCAGTATCCGGCGTACTAAAGGTACTAACTTTTGTTCACTTATTTTTCGATTTTTAAGGACAAATGGTTTACATGTCATCTGAATCTTGTTAGAGCTGCGAAGAAACTGTAATCAATATGAAAATCTATCACTCATTAGTTGGAAAATCGGAGATATCCTGGGAATTAGACATAGGTCATAATCGTTGTATTATTTTGGACATGTTAATTGATTGTTTATCCGATACAGAGAAGCAATATAATTTTCTAAGTAAAACGTGCATTAAATTCGGACAAATTTATTTTGGAAACAGAGGACCGATTTATAAAGTAAAATTTAGTTTCATTGATTTAATTAATAATGTAAAAAAAAATAAAATCGTAGGCGCATTGGATATATAACATAACAAACGATGATTTATCGTATTCCATAAACGTCGATGATATTTCCAAGATTAATGAACAATATCAGTGCGAAGTATTTTGTTGCTTAACTAAAAGTGGCATAGTGGAGGCTCGATCGGCAATACCTTTGCTTTTGAAATTTCAGCCTAGGATGTTTGGTTTTTATAAGGTACTAAAAAGAATGTATTTTATTATTTTAAAATACATAAGAAAAACTATATTCAAAAGTAAAATTAATATAGAATATTTGTTTATAAGGCGCTAGTCATAATAACATTGGGTAATAAAAAAATGAAATTGAATGTAGAAGGTGAATCATCTTATGACTTCAGATCGACTATAATTGAAAAATCAATACCAATTGATTGTACTTGTGACACTACAGAACTGCCTGTATATTTCAATATACAGTGCATAGATATGTGGTCCATTCCAATGCATAATTCTGTCATTAAACTGATTATTCTGCAAAACCGTTTGAATCATGATGCACTTGGGTTTGAGTGGAAATGGTATTTTTTTCAAACTTTCAGTTGATTAAACTGTTTTTGTTCTAAAAAAAATGTTGAGCATTCCATCGGTAAAAAAATTGTTTCTGATCATCCTAATTTATTCGGGTCCCGAAATTCTTTTAGCAAAGATGTGTCAGAGGTACTTCAAGTCAAGATATTTCCCCGCAAAGGTGTAATTAGTCCAAGTACCATGAAAAGTTTTATGCTAAAGATTTTCACGAAAGGATACCCCTGTGGATTTGATCTTGATATACCTTGCAAATTAATTAATGTCAGTAAAGTACGTGAATATCAAAGAAGTATTATCAAGTACAATCTTCTGAAGAACGAATTGGAAGGACAGTTTATTATCACAGAAAGAGGCACTACTATTCCAGTAATTAAATATTATATTACTTATATATATATTCACTTAGCAAGCACAATGAAAGGAAAATTTTATCCATATTATCACTACAAATATTATTTTTATAGAAACCGTGGTTAAAAATATTGGACAAACCAAGTGTATTTTATAAAACATTAAGTTTACGATGCACCATATATTCCATGGAAGATGAACGCATAAGAAACAGTTTAAAAGAAGAATTGAAGAGTGCACCATCAAGAGCAGTATTTCTTGATGACAGTGAGAACTACAATATCACAAAAAATGGAAAAGAACTTAATATAATTACATTTATTCTGGAAGGTTTATTGTGGTAAATAATTTTATTTGCAGATATATAAAGTTGGTAAACGATTAAACAAATTATATTTTATAGGGACATTGTTAGTAGTAGAAGATTCGAAATGATCATTCGACAAAATTTAATACCTACAAGGAATTTATATTATTCTCAATTTGCAATGAATCTGCATGAAAGGAAAAGATTAATAAAAAGATCATTTATATCTCCACCATTATCCTTTATTAATTCTATATTAGAAGAAGTACATATAATTACAATAAAATCAACTTGCAATATTTATCTTTCTGTGATCAAATTTTAAATAATTAATATCCTTTTTCAGGCATTGTTTCTTATAGTACACGAAGAATTTTCTTTGGATATAGCACACTTAATTCCTGAAGAAGATATAAGGCATGATAATTATATTAAAATTATTCAGAAACAAAACAAACTTTACATGGAAAACAGTGAAAGTACAAAGTCACAGTTTTTTAAAAATCAATCCTTTATTATTACTTATGTCATAAAAACACTTATCATATAAATGATATTATTTAGATACTCAATTATCTTCTGCTATGTCACAAGAGAATTATACAAGAGGAATATTTAGAGTGTCCTTTACAAATTAAATGCAAGCAGTAAATACTTAAGTAATAAGTTATTTATACTAGCTAATTTTTGTCACATATGGATCTGGAATTCGCTTAAACACAGCCAAGAACTTTAATCCTTTATTTCTAGTTACTTTCTGGCCTTCTTCTGTACTTACATACAGCTGCTCCACAATAGGATCTTCATCCTTCATACAAAATTGAATATTATTACAATTATTTAAATTACTTTTTAAATAATTATGTACCAAAAAAAACTTACATATTCCTGTTCAGAAACATCATCAAACAATGGATGTTCACGAAAATGCTGCACCATCCAATTATGTAAATCTTCAACGTCTGTCACTGTGTACACAATAGCCTTTAAATAATACATTGGATATTATTACAATTGAAAGTAATTTGGATTGCAAAAGTTTTTTTAAATGAGATACTAAAAATAATATTACTCCTTCAGCTAATACATAGGCATATTCTGCCAGAAGAGTCTTATTTATAATTCTCCATTTGTGTTTAGACTTCTTGAAATGTGGATCTGGATATAGAAAGAACATCTTCTTCAGTTGCCCTTTATAAAAATAGTTTGGTAAATATTTCATTGCATTGGTCCTCAAGCATGCCACATTCTGATATTGCCCAGGATTTTGAGATCGTAATGCAGCTATGCGATCCATTACATAGTCAGAAACTTTTACTCTGATTTCCATACCAAGAATGAGATTATCAGGGAACATTGGTGATAGTGTAACTATTACAGAAAATACGGTCATTTAATACAATTTTAGAATGTTAAATATCAGATTTTGAATAAGATCTGAATTATACATACCCAATAACCCTCCATAGCCACAACCAATATCTGCGAATTCTACACGCTTCCTCTGGGCATTATTTTCATCTGACTTTACTTCATTGTTTGAAAAATAATGTGGATACAAGGCACTCCAATTCATTGCATCAGGATTTACGGGGCTAAAAAGAATTTCATTTAAAAGCAAAGTCAGAAAACATTTGAAATAACAATGTTATGTTATTGTAAGTTTAAAAGCCAAGACTTATTTTATTTATAGATACATTCACGTACTATTCTATACAGTGATCCGCTATGGGATTTGAGTGGGCTCGTTGCCTATAATATTTTTTTTGCGGTAACGGTAGTGGCTCTGACATGATAGTAGATTTCGACAAAAACAAGTCCACATGGAGTGCAGCGTCTTAACCTAACCCGATTGAAACCTAACCAAATTGACAGGTTGTAGTTATTTAACTGTCAAGTAATGAAGTGTTCGTTGATTGGTCAAAGGAAAAGAATTCCACAGAAATTATTGAAAAATTTGTAATTCGTTAACAAAGATTTATTGAGTCGCAAAATTAAGTTAAATACATAATTATATCCACTAATACCTAGCGTATAAAAAGTTTATGTAATTACACTGAAGGTAGTATAAAATTTAATAGCTTTATTTTTTGTATTTTAATAGATCCATTTTTTTTTACACATATACGAAATACAGTTTTTGTGTATAGAAGTTATTTTAATAAAGACCACTTTAGCTGATCCTTTGCAGACTGCAGAACCTAGAACAAAAACAAAGCATTTACAAACATATGTGAGAGTTTCTTAAATATTGTTAACAATGCTGCCTTCTAGATTCACAAAAACTTACAATCAGAGACTGTGCGAAGAATGTAGAATGATGCATGAACACAAAATAAAGAAATCGAAAATGTTTCTATGTGACAAATGGACACAAACTTTACTAAAACATTAAGTTTATCAAGGGTGTCACCTAATAGTAATTGTTACCTGTGCAACTGTTTGTTCCCCCAAAGGAATGTCATCTATTCGTAATGCTACCCTTTGAACAACACTGGAGGCATCAGCATCCAAAATAATTCTAAAACAAGTTCATTATTAATTATTTTATGAGTAATAACATTTAATTTATTTGCCAGATAAATATTATTTACCCTCCATCACAGATCTCATCCATTGCTAACATTACTATGTCTAAGCTATCCAAAACAGCCCTTTTCTCAACATTCTTTCTTAAAATTTGACTAACTGAATCATATAAACAATTTAGAACACTCATTAAGATAAGCTGAAACAATATTAAGGGATATTATTAAAATGTACTAAAATCACACTTAAGATTAATTAACTTTCAGAAAAACACATACCTCGTTCTCATGAGAACTACCCATAACATAAAAGAATAAATCCACGTTACTCCTATAAACACAAGTCAAACCATCCAACATGATGATCTCTGCATTAGCTCTGTGTGTTTTGTTAAAGAGATTTTTTTCAAATGCTTTTTGCTCCTTTGGTGTGGGAAATATATTCTTGTCATAATATTTGGCTAATATCCTGTTACCATCATTGTCAAGGATGGCCATACCCTTGACAGTATAAAGTGTTGGTTCCTACAGAAAAATACTACTGTTATTATGATAGAAACAACTTATTTTAACTCTTTCCCACGTATGCACCCATGTAATATTTTACTACAAATTTCAATGTGAGTTTCAATGACCACGCATGCTAATTACTTTCAATACGGTTAGGGAACACCTTTAAGTGGTAATGATATTATGAAAATAAACAGTAAATGGGAACAGACAGGAAAAGCAAACTTAAAATCAATAGAAATCATACGCGTTGTAGAAAATCGCGATCCTGGTCACTCTGATGAATTGGAGAGAGGTTATGTTCCACGACTTTCGATGATCCACCACGATTCATGATTACGATTGCACGAGACAATATTTACATCAAAACCGTATGATTACGAGACGTAGTTTAATACGAAATCTGCGTAAAAAAACGTAAGACGCACAGTAAAAAAACCTACCAATAGCTGACCATCCATGTTTACGTCAAACTTGACGCGTCAATATTCTTATAGTTCTATACGATTCTGCTGCCATCTATACAAATATTAAATTTTCTTTCGATAAGGTTATGTACATACCTGAGTAAATAGTATTTATACAAATAAAACGTTCCTTATCGGATTAATAAACAATATTATTAGGTCATAAAAATATTTCCAGTCCTTGTAACAAATTAAACTCCAACTCCTTCAGACTTTCAGGATATCTCAGAAAAATACATGTTTTCATTCAGAGCAATTAAAACATTTTAACTTAATCTTTGAAATACAACAATTAATTCTTGTACTTCTGTGCATACCAAATGTTGCATATAGGTGCAAGAATTATTTTAAAAAAATTCGCGCCATTGACTGTGGCGCCATCCGTGGCAAAACGCTCCAACTGGTAGCCAAATGTTACCGATCTGGAAATTCACCAGGATAGAATGTGGCGCCCTCTGTGGCAAAGAGGTCAAACTGGTAGCCAAATGTTACCGATGTGGAAATTCACCAGGATAGACTGTGGCGCCCTCCGTGGCAAAACGCTGAAACTGGTAAACAAATGTTACCGATCTGGGAGTGCGCGCGGATATCGTGGAACGAATTAAACCCCAATTTCCTTATACTGTAAGTACTTTATTTTAGCAAATGTTTGTATGCAAATATCTACATTTGTGAATTAATATAAACTGCATTGTCATGAAGTTCTATAGAATAAATACTACTCGCATTGTTATACATTTGTTGTGACTAAACATTATGACATGTAGCAAAAACGACGTAAGTAATTATAGTAAATGTGTACAAATCTTCGCGCGTTGGGAATTTTGTAACGTATAACATTTGTATATTGGTTTACCGTTCTCTAAGCGTAGAGTGTAGTGCAAAGCTTCTGATGTTTTACACAGTCATTAATTCAGAACATGTGATACCGAGACCTCCAAGCTTGCAATGTCTATCCCACACCATATCTATGATATCATTCAGAAGTATTATATACAATAATAATTTGCTCACAAATCCAGTGTTACACACTGAGAAATATGCAATTGTTATAGATAAATTTAACTTTTTTTCTCTTTTTTCTTTATCAGATTTGAATATTTGCGGAAAAATTCTGGTCCATCCCATCGGCCACTAAAAATAATGACAATAATTATCTCGATTTTGTTTAGCAATTTAACGATAGATGATTATAATTAATTTACCGTAGCATCAAATTCCAATAGAGAAGAGGAAAGATATAAGTTTTTAGTATAAATGTAAAGTAATATTCTCGTCCCTGATCGACTGGAAATGTTTCTAGCGGTTGCAAATTATAATCAAATTCAGCTAGAATACATTTTGAGTAGCCAGTAACCAACGGGCAGGATGAGTAACCATTATAAGCCATGGTCATTGGTTTACCAGCCAGGTCATCACAAATATTTTTATATAACACTTTGCCCTGGGCCGCTAAAAATCAAATATGTGAGACCAAAAAGATTCAATTTTTATGAACATCATATTACCTATCGCTGCCATTGTTTTCGAATTTGGAGTATCTGTACAATCTCCGATTCCATATATATTCGAATATTTCGTATGGCGTAAAGTTTTAGAATCTACAGACAGGAAGCCCACTGCGTTCGTTAATACAGGATGTTTTTTCAAAACATCCGGTGGACCCATTGGTGGACAGACATGAAGAAAGGAATACTAAAAGGAAAATAATGAATATTATAAAGTACATTATGTCATGTATGTTTTATATAAAATACAAAAATACCTTTTCGACGAATGTCTCATTTGGTTCATCCAATTTCTGAAATATAGCTTCTTGAGCAGATGGTCTTATTTCCACAAGATTCGTTCGGACATTTACTGTAATATCTCTTTTTTTACAGACTTTCCAGAGTGCATCAGCATATTTTTTTACACCAAATATAACTGGTAAAGATGTATTATATATTACTTTTACATTATCACGCAGCCCTTTCTATAAAAAGAAGAAAAGTATTACTTTTACTTATACTGTATTTAACATACAGGTGCTAATAATGGTGTTTCTTAATGTAATTATGATGAATTAATTACTTTACGAAAATATTCCTCTGCAATGTATGCAATTTTCTGTGGTGCTCCAGGACATTTGACTGGACTATTAGGGAAAGTAAATATTGCTTTGCCTTCTTTAGTCCTCCCAAGTTTCATATAAACATTGGGTACAGTATCAGAACCATAAATGGAACAAACTTGCGATGTATAGTCTTTAAGACTGTCTGTTAAACCCGGTATCTGATGTATATGTACATTGAGTATAATTAATTTCCATTTGTTAGTGTAATGATATAAAATAAGTTTTCCAACCTCACTTTTTCCCAATGTAATTGCAATCCCATTGCAACAATCATGATTTCATATTGCACTGTATCGCCGTTACTCATAGTCACTTGATTCTGTTCTGGATCGAAGCTCATTACATTTTCTTGAAGCCATTTTGCATTCTGTGGTAAAACCGCTTTCATTGGCTTTTTAGAAGCCTCAAAGGGTCTTATGCCACCACCAATTAAAGTAAACATTGGTTGATAGTAATGGATCTAAAAAATACATATGCAATTACTGTAAGCAAGTATTTTATAAATAAACATGTATATAATAAGATGATATAATAAGATGACTTGCATCATTTGGTTCTATAACAACAACTTTGTTGGGATCCTTGAATTTATTAGCAAACTTTGCAGCCATGGTACAGCCTCCGGTACCACCTCCAACTACTAATACTTTACATCTGAAACACATTTTTCCAATATGAACTAAAGATATGCACATTTCATTACATTGCAGATCCTCATGCTTTCCTTGCATAATAACACAAACATTTGTTCATAAATATCATGACTATAAAATTTCTTACGAGTGATGAAGATGTCTACAACTGTTCCTCGTTATCAGGTTCCTTGTAAGTGGCTCAGAATTACAGGTAATTAAGTAAGGCATTGAATGACGTATACATTTAAAGTGACTCATCTTGAAATCTGTTTTAATATAAAAATAGATAAAAATTATATGATAATATAAATGTCAAAGTGCAGATAATCGTATAGTAACATTACTGAATTAATGAAGAGTATTTAATAATCTTTCAAGTAAATAATACCACATACGATTATGATAAATTTATGTTAAATTACGTAGAAACTGTAATATCACAAAATTCAACAATTAACACGTAATTATAAATACCTGCACAACTGTCACGCAATTACGTATCCAATATGTTTTCTACAATTAACGTTGATTCCAATGCTGAAGTAGTTCTCTGAATATAAAATAAAACGCTATTTAATTATATCATCTGCTTAATGACAATTAAATGTTACGTTACCGAAATTTACAGCTAAACTCGGAAAGTTCTAACTATAAAGTGGTAGCCGAACGACTGATACTTGCCAGCAATCTTTTTAACCTTTAAGGACTGCGCAAACGCAATTTCAAATTTGGAACACAAGTCAAACAAGCTTTAAACAATCTTCAAACAATTATACCATCATACCGGCGAATCGAATAATTAATTAATAAATTTTAATTTTACAATGTCGTGGGTTTTATAAGCTTTATCAAATCTTGCACACTGTTCTTTGTACGTACTAATTCGACAGTAATCTATGGAAAATAATCTGACCTCAATATCAATTTATTCAGAACGATATAAAATTTAACCGTAATCCTGTTATCAAATCGATAAGAACTGAGCAGATTTGAAATCGATGAATCTAACTTGCAAACGTACCTTGTTTGACACTTGCATTTACACCCAAGTGTTAATTTAATTATCTCACTTCTATAATTCCAGAAACATCGTCAACTAAAGAATTAATAATTAACTTATGATTGGTTAATTATTAGACATCATTAGTTTCAATATGAGATTCATTTTTTCGATCTTATTTTCGTACTCAGATCCGGTTCCAAGTATCAAAAGTTATTACGTAATAACGTAACCACCTAAAAACTCACATGACATGCTCGAGTGAACCATAGTAATTCGATTTGGTTTAAATATTTAAATATTTCACGTGAAAATGTAAAATTTCATTTAGAATACTAAATATTTAACTTCATAATTTTGCTGTATTAAATCAAGTGGTGACTGAAACCTCTAGAGTGCAAGGGATTAAATTCCAAGAGATCTGCAAATAATTAATTTAACCGATCAATCAAATAGAACACAAATGGCGTAGAGGGGTTTGAAATAACTTCTAAACCGTGATATTTGTTTTAGTCATTCTTTTGCTTCTCTCTTTATTGAGGATAACTTTTTTTTAACGCCGCCTGAAACTAGGCAAGCTCGGCTCTCAATCCCGAAGATCGTCAGTCGTGAGAAATCAAAGGAAAGTTACACTTTTAATAGTTCCCTGCTACAAAAAGAAAACATCTCTCCAATGATCCAAACGTATACGTCGAAAGCGAGTCCCCGTTACAGTGCAACGATCGCACTCGTGCATTAATTACAGCGAAACTGTTCATCGATCGGTGAACAAGACACTCGCAGAATCTTTCTCCCATGATCACCGAGGATCATCCTAACCACCATAGGAACGACCCTCGTAAAAATTCGAAACCGGAACTCGTCTAAGACTCTAACACCATTCAAATTCGAATTCTAATTTCTCTTTAAACATCAGTTTCCCTAAAGTGGTACGTTCCAACATAAAACTTGGTTCTTCCACGAAGTTCAATATGTTATGTCCTGTTCACTGATCATCGAGAAACCGTCAGCCTACCAAAAACATCCGAACGATTCCCCAAAAAATCGGGAACAAGGGACGGAGAAAGCAAAAAATCGTCGTCTAACGGAAGTTATCGAAAGAAAATCGTATCCCTGTTCCTTGCGTTCGTTTTATCTCCGTTTTCCACGTGAAAGTGATCGCCATTCCACGCGAAAGTCATTGCCGTTCCACGCGAGAGACCAAGAAAATTCAGGCGAGCGAGCGACCGAGCGAGCGAGCTTTTCCCGCGACTGAGGACTTCCGGTGCGAGCCTGTATTCACGTTGGCTAGCCCGTTCTCCACGGGCCGTGCGTGAAATACAAATGCACGACTTGCAAACGATAATGATGATAATAATAATAATAATAATAATAATAATAATAATAATAATAATAATAATAATAATAATAATAATTAATAATAATAATTAATAATAATAATTAATAATTAATAATAAGTATACACTCTTCGCGAATCGTCGCTTCAGTTTTTAAGTCCTTAAGAATAAATTTATTTACATCGCGGACACGGTTCATTAGCTTAACTTCTGTTCGCTTCTATATATATATATTTTTATTTATATATATATAAAAAAAAGAAAAACATTCTCTCTCGTCTTCCTGTAACGCGCTCGAGCCAGTGTATAATTCTTTTCTCGTTAGTTTTTCTCCGAAAAAGGAAATGGCAGAGCTATTCCTTTTATTTCTCTCGTCTCTTAAGTGTCGAACGAAAAACAATTGTCTCTCGACCGAAGATCTTTCCGTTTCGATCTTCGAAAAGGGAAACGTGCGGCGCTAAAAAAAAGAAAAAAGAAAACACCGTTCGCAACCGATTTCGTTTATCCTAGTTCCCTCGTTCCTTTTGTCACGTTTTTCTTTTCATCCGTCGACCGGAAACCGATTAACCCCTTGCCTCGTGACGTGTCAGACTCGTAACGATTTTAACACTAAAACTACCGGATGGGTTAAAATGACCCATTCCTAAATTATTCTTTCACAATTATTGGAAAATAGATCCTCTGAGAAATTTCTAAAGGAATTGTTTCAGTAACATATAAACTAAGTTTTCGAAGTCTCGACAGATGAACTTCTGGGTTTTCATAGAAATTTCGAAGTCAACTTGACTGCTTGGTAGTTCTAGTGTTAAACAGAATTTAATAAGCATAGATATCACTCGATTCTCTTGAATTTAAACGAGATATTCATGTGACATTCACTGTTCATTACTCATCTGAAATATTAATGAAATATTCAATGAAATATTATTGACTTCTGTCATATTCTAATTCAGAGTATACACGAACATGGAATATGCTTAGAATCTTTGTCTTCTTCCCAATAAATTATTATTGACAAAGTAAGTGTATCGATCATGGCTGAGAAGTGAACCTTAAGGCAAGGGGTTAACCATAAACGCTGCTCGTGCCGCACAGCCAAGAGAACAACGCTAGAAAAGAAAGTGTTGGTCTACGATTTTTGTTTTACTTTCCATTATACCCTATACGCTTCCAGTTCCTCTTTCACTCTGTTATCCGGCCTCCCTCGTTCCGCGAAGCGAGAAGCGAAACGTTCGTTCTCGGCCGCACGGGAATACAATCGTTCATCGGCACGATAAAATCTGCTTGGTTCTTCGGAAATCGTTCATTTCCTCGCCTTTTCTTCTTCGTTCCTCTCGTTAACCCCTTGTCACGCGATAACTTAGACTGGGAAGACAGTTCTCGAATGGAGCTTGCAAAAATTAGATTAACGCGTTCGCTACCAGCGCTTATTCCGATGACAATCCAATAAATCCAATAAAATACGAGAAAAATGAAACTGAAACGAGTCATTGAGTTCATGCATATACTGTCGTAGTTTATAATTAATAACAATATCATTAATTTCATCTTCACTGTAAAATATAGGATTACAGCCACAAATGTGACGATCTCGTGCGTTGTAAAGAGTAAATTACATTTGTAATTAATATAAATAATGTACAGAAAGTTATGAAGATATTTGTTCTTAATATTCTGTGTATTTTATAAAGACGATATGTTTTTAATAAAATATTGTAATCACAGCTGCTATCGAGAGAACTGGTAGCGAATGGTTAACAGTCACGAGTTAACTTAAGGGAAGTTAACTCGGTTATTGGATTAAATACTATTCTTTCAATGTTAAATTAACCCTCTATAGGCTCGTGCGACTTTGAAGTCACACATCAATATACCGAGTTAAATTGACGTATTTAATTTTTTATTGCAAAATGACAAACATTAAATAATTAACCAACTTAAACTTTTGTACACACAGGCGTTTACGTTCAACGTCATTGTAATGTCAAAGTTACAAAATATATTCGTTTCAATAAAATTGTTGAAACTATTGAATACATTGTTAATTTGTGTTCATATGTTGATATTTATTAATTTCATACTGCAAATTTTGTTCTAATCACGAAACGAAATTCGGCCCATAGAGAGTTAAATCATCAATTGTTATTCAGATTGAATACTATTCTTCTCTTATTAACCGTTGCGTTTTAAAGGTGGACATGGATGAATCGCGAGTTCCTCTAAGTTTCTTGGTGAATCGTCAAGGGTGAAGTTAAGAATGATCAAGGGGTTAATAATGACGAGAAACATCAGTCGCAGTATCGGCCGACGAACGGAACGGTATTTCATCGGGCCGAGTCGCCGCCGCAGATTTATTGCTAACGTGTACCATTCTCCTGTTCTCGTTGACACGTTGACTGCCACGATGCTCACCGATCACTTACTATCTAAACTACTCGAAAACGATTACAATTTAGATGACTCGAATAGAGATATCGAATAGCGTGAATATATAGATCACAGTGCAACGTAAGAATCGTGACATCAAATAATCGTTTACTTTGGAAAATGTACGTCCATTGTTCAAAGAAATCAAGTTAATCGTTATAATAGTTATTCTACATAATCTTTTTATTTCTTAATACTTTCACTGCCATGTCACGCGAACTGTGACACTATTTTTCACAGAAACTTGGACATCAATTTTCTTCCTGACATCGAAAAAACCGAATTTCCTTGGATATGAGATATAAGAAAGATAGTGGAACAATTATTAAGAATCTTGACTTCTCAAAGTGTTAATAGTTTCTTTTTCAAGTCGACTTAAAGCATTTTCAAAGTAAACGGTTCAACCCTCTCGCCGTACCATTTGATTCGGGTCACGCTCCTCGAATCTATTTAATCCGTAACAATTAGACAGAATTTTCCGCTTATTACAAGTACACGTTTCCGTCGAAGGTAAAATATTCACAATAACGAAACAAGTTCTTTACTTCTACGAATAACATTGATATCTATTCGACACTGTACGGCAAGGGGTTGATAAATGGTTCTTATCTCCGCTGCGAAAAGAACAAGCGACACACGAAACGTGGCAATTCTTCGTGGCAGTCAACGTATTATAAACGAACGAACGTCAAAGGCCGATTTCCTCTTTTCCCAGGCCGTCTCGCGCGATCAAGATTAACGATGTCCGAGCTGACGGATCCGATCAGTGGATACAATCGATAAATACAATGATCGCCTTTCTCCCCAGTCTCTTATCCTATCCCTTTGTTCGTTACTTTCTGTTTCCCCCGCCATTTTCACCGTCGATTTCAAGGGATCGGCGTCGATCCACGATATGCACGGAAAAAAAAGAGAAATTACGACGAGGAGGAAGAAGAACGTCGATGCGAGATTTCTTGTCGTTTCGCGGCTCTTATCGCGTTCTTTTCTTTTTAACCGTTAACACCGTTGACTGCTACGGTGGCCACCGATGACTGGACATTCCGAATTGCTCGAGGACAATCTCGTCAAGAAAATTCATACCGAATGGAAATATTTGTGAGTAACGTTTGAGTTGTGATATCGAATCGTTAAGAGTTCTAATACCATTTATCTTTGCGAAAGATCGAGCAGTAGTATTACTGTAATGATAGTAATAATTACTACTAATACATAATAATAAGAATAACAGTAATAATAATTACTAACAGCGTAACAACCATCATAGCAAATATTACTATTCCCATAGTCACAGTAATTACTACCATTAGTAATCATTATCGTTACCACTATTACCATAGTAATAATTATCACTAAGTAACAATGGTACTCTACACAGAAAACGCTGAAAAACGTGGCAGTCAACGCGTTCGTTCCGCGTGGTAGGCGTTGTGTATGTACATTAATGTAATGCGGTGCACGAGTGTTATATGTGTTTGGTAGATCACTCCCGTCTTCTTCTTCCTTCGTATCCTCTGTCTTTCTGTGTACATGTGTGTATGCGTCTCTGTGATTATAATAATCGTGATATTAATGTATTATCAATACTTTAATAGTAATATTATTTAATAATTACGAACGGACCGCACGGTCGCGTTTCTTCGCACGCGCCGGCTGTTCTTTTGTTCTCGGTTGTGTTTCTTTTTTTCCATCGTCGACGCAAACGGGAGAAAATAATCGCTTGGTAAAGGTGTGTGGTCTGTGTACGTGTCATTGTATAAGTTTATATATATATACGGTGGTTTCGCGTCGAGAAACGGGCGGCGACGCGTTTTCTTTCCGGTCCACCCGGTACAGTACGCACGGACGTTCGCGAATAGACGGTGGTGGGTTTCGAACTCATCAATCTCTCTTCCTCTCTCTCTCATGCACACATACACACACGCACGCACACACACTCTCTCTCTCTCCTTAAAAAATAATCAACCTACGGTGAACGGAAACTGCGAGTATTAAACCGTGGTTCGCTCTAACTATGCGCATGCTTCGCAAAGATAATTTTATGTTGTAGTCTATCTCGCCCGATGCCGCGTACTGTAGCTTGTACCACAATGTTTTATTCTGTTCGCTTACATACTCGGAGGTAACGGCATAGCGTGTGCCAGTGGAACCCAATAGGAGCATAAACGAGGGATTCGTTGGCGCTATCTTTCAACGGTTTGCGTGTTTAACACTAGGTTTACGGGCATTTATTGTAGACTTCATTCTATTATTCCTAAAAGAATTGATGCTCGTTTATTTAGATTGTGGAAACTGGAGATTTGATAGTAGGTAATTTGGGTACATGTCAGTGTGATCGCATCAATCAAAATCGGCGTAAACATTTACAAAATAATGTTTCTAAAATCCAATATGCGGCAATTTGACGCGTTCCGTAAACCTAGTGTTAAGAAATAAGAGGGGAACGTGTTCGGTACGCGGAGATTGTTTTATGCGCTTCGGCTTGAATCCTCTTCCATAGTCCCGTTGGGTGCATCGCTTCACGCTTGGATATATACTCGAAGGCGATACAACGGGGTAGCAAACACAGCGGACCATGAATAGAAATTGCTTTTGATGCTTTAGAAATGCTTGGTTTGAGATTAACTCGGATTGTTGAGAGAGAAGATTCTCGTGCACTCGCTTAGATGGACATTCCTATGGGTTTACAGTGTGCAAAGGAGACAGGAGTCTTTACAGGTTACAGAGATAGAAATTTCCATGGAGTTTTATCACGTTTCGTTATACCGTTAAACTGTCGATTCAGAAAACAATTCTATTTAGTTTGAAGGTGGTTGATTGTAAGTACTCGCGTGAAACTCCATGGTCTACCGTTACATTCTAATCCGACGGGGTTGAACAATCTCTTCATGGTCCCACTGGACTGGCCACGTCGCAATATCAAAGTATACGCTTCACTACCTCACTATACATCCAAGTGTACGCACTTGGCGGTAACGATACAATGAAACAGTGAATCCAGTGGGATCACAGAGGTTCTTCATCGCGGGTGCGGGCCTGTCTCCGACGTTTCAAAGAAATCTGAGAACTGATCTGAAAGAGGAACTGACTTAGGAACCTCTAGCCTTTGGTCCCGCTGGGTCGACCACCTCACTCTATCCTCACCCATAAATATACACGTGCTTTTCCGCGTGTATACGCTCGTGTATACATTCTGTTTTTTGTTCTTTTATCTTTTTTTATACTTTTCATTTCAGCGTGTCCTGTGTAGGTCTGTATGTACGTGTGTATGTGCGTGTGTGCGTGTGTGTGTGCCGTGTATATAATATGTGTTAATACGTATTGTTGTTCCGACGCGAGACTGTGTTTGACCGTTGTGTGTCGAGTCACTTCATTTGGTTTATTTTGGCATACAAAATAATTTTATTTACAGTCTGACAATAATATTAATTATTTTATCTATAGTCCTTTATACTAAATGGCGATAGTATAATTCGAATTACTTACTATATTATGCAGTTTGTCCGGCTATTTACATAACAAAACGGCACGAATAAATATCATTGGACATGGACCAAGTGTTTTCTTTTTCTTTTTTCTCCCCCGTTCTCCCTATTGTTCTGTCTACGCTGTCCGTCCGTCCGTCTGTGTGTGCATTCGCGAACGATTCGCTGTTTAGGGACATCACGGGGACTGCCCATTACTGTTTCTTTCACGGAGAACCGTCGCGACGGGACCGAGAGACGTGAGGGACGAAATTAATGGACCCTAAGACACGTTAAATGAATTCTTACAGATGATTATCGATCGGTTTGCGAAGAGAGAAGGCGCAGTATCAAAAAGATTAAATGCAGAATGAACGCGGAGCAAACGGAAATGACCGGCTGAGTAATCGCGAGAGAAGTAACAATCTGAACGCGTCTTCCGGTCCCATGATCGACACGCGAATCGCTTTACAATCAACGTCCCTGTCCGACGAATCGATCGACGATCAATTTGCTAGCCGTGTGAACGGCGACGCGTTGTCTCTCGTTATTCGATGCAAGGAAACGTGGCAGTTGAACAGGATAACAAATACAAAAAAAAAACGGCTTGGCACTGAACTGCCCTCGGGATCGATTCACGTTTGATTCTCGGTTCAGACTAATGGAAAAACGAATCTGTAAAGCGATCGCTGAATGGACTTCGGTTTCTGTCATACTTTAGCGTATAAAGTAATCAATTAACACTTTGACAGCCGTGCTTTTCATTTGAAATTCATCTCTTCAGTGAAACTTTTCACAAAATCATGTTCACAAAGGTTCTCACGATAGTACGCTTGCTATTCACAAATTTACTCCTTGCCTCATGCTCTTTTTCACAGTTGCACTCGCAAGAATTACTTTATCTCTGTCAGTTCTCCAAAATAAAGATAGTATTTCCCTCTAATCAATCTGAACTAAATAATATCGATCAAGTTCAACGGAGGCTTCTCGCTACAAGTATTGCTTCGTATTGCTAGGCAAGGTTCTGACAAATCCATCGTTACTTTCGTTACTAACTAAAATATCCCAGCTTCCTAGCTCAAGATACAATCCACACAAAGAATCGCACGACCGTGAAAGTGTTAACAATAAATTCATTGAAACGGTAGCCGAGATCCTATCAGCGTCGCTTAATCCTAAAACTATCGAGCAGTCGAATTGCCTTTTTCTAATTTCGTCACAGAAACGCTACAAATGCATCCACTGAGATTTCAACTGACAATTCAGTTGGCGTGTTACGAAAACAATTTCTTCGATAACGTTTCAGAGCATAACAGGTTATCGTTTCAACACTTGAAAAAGAAGAAATTATTTTATCACACGTTTTAACACGGTAGATCCAGTGTTAACGTAGCTTCTACGAAGAACAACATGCGACTTGGAATCGATCTCGAGCGACGATCATTGCCGTTACTCTGAAATAGGAAAACAAAATTTGCTGAAGGTAATACGCGCGGATAGGAAACGGGCTCGTGTGATCAGTCGCGGCCAATCCAACGACCGAAGGACGAAGTGAAGTTTGCTTTCCTCTTATAGCACTTGATCGCGTGTTACCTAATTTCACCTGAGTATAAGAACGTTATTCCCATTTCATCTGTTTCCGTGTTCTCCCCCCCTTTTTTACTTTGTTCATGTGTTCAATCGCGGATCGATTCGCGTCCAGCGCCAGCGGGCGGTACCAAAATGGCCGCCGGGGCTTCCCCTCGCTCGAGAAGCCACGAAGGTTTTTCCTCCTCTTCTTCTCTTCTCGATCGTTCGAGCAAGAAAAAACGTGAACAACGATGAAAGCTGCATTCCTCCGAGGTCTCGATCCGGTTTCGAGGACGACGAAAGCGCTGGCACGGCGAAATTCCTCAGCTTCCGGTTGGAGATCGACGGGTCGAGCCAGTTCAGCGACTGTTTTCCTCTTCGTTTCTCGTGACTTTTACCGATATCCTCTTCGACCGACGTCCGAATACTACGTCGCGTGCGACTGCTGGGACTGAGACAGCTTACTGGAGCTTTTGTGGTGGCTAGACGAGTGCTTCTCCTGAAAATATAAACAGAACTGTGGTACTCTGCTCCCTTGTGACGCTGGAGTTTGTAGTTTAACACTAGAGCTACCAAGAAATTGAACTGATATCTATGGTAATATAATATCTTAGAATATTCCGTGATATCTCAAAGTATTTCATGATATCTCATGATATTTTTAATAATGTCTCATAGTACCTTATAATATCTACAAAAAGAATGAAAATCAAAGATGTTTACTTGAATCTCGGTTCAAGAGGTAAATTAACAATCAACTGACGATCAGTAACGATCAATTAACCGAAGAATCTCTCAGAAAAGCAACTGCATCGAGTCGATCTATCCGGTAGTTCTAGTGTCAACGAAAGTACACGAGGATCTCGCGTCGCACGAATTACAACAGGAGCACCGTCCCTCGGTCTCGGACTAATTAATCATCGACGAACGTCTCCGAGAGGATCGGTCGGCACGTTGATCGCTGTGAACACGACGACGGAGAGAATCCCTTTCATGGTCCTCCTTTCACGTAGACACTTCCAACTCTTTCTTTCAATCATTGCTTGAAGAAAACCTTGACGATCGTGATGAGTCACTCGCCAAAGCGACCAACTCCACGAAACGAGAGAACATCAACGATTCAATGATACCGTACACATATACATAAAACAAGAATGAAAAATATTTCGCCAGGAAATCGCAAGAACCTTGGAAAAAGTGGAATTAATCGCTTCGATCCGACTCAAACGATACCTGACGTCTCGTTGGTTTAATTAAATTATTCGAATCAGTGGGAATGAACGTGTACCGCCCGAATGGGAATCGGGTGAAAAGAGAATGAACCGTTTTTTTCCCCGTTTTTTTTTCTTGAGTTTGCCCCTCGGGCGAACGATTCGAGAGCGGTCGGTAATAACACCGGTTAACGAATTGTTAACCCTTTCGCGGTCATATCGAAAAATAAAATAAAATCGAAACGTAAATTACAAAATGAAAGTTACCAGATTCAAAGATTTATTATGAAAACGATCTGTATAAAATAGAGATCTGTTATTATACGGAATTCATCGAAAATTTAAACTAATACGATCGCGAAGGGTTAAATTCCATTGGAATTCTTCACTGACAAAATGTTACGGGGCAAGGGGTCAATTTGTCTCCCCCGGTTCCCATTGGCGCCGGCAGCCGCCGTGAAAAGGAGGTCGAACGTGACGCGCACGCACGTGACGTGGAAGCGTGT